GTACACAAAATTGTATTGGAATACTATAAAAATTCAATCTTGATTCCAGTAATAAAAACATCATAATACAATTGCATGTTGAAAGTTTGGAATATATGAATTTTAAATTTCACATCTATTTTTCTCTTTATTGTCATCCAACAAATAAAAAACCAACATATATAATGGATATACATATTAAAAATAAAAATCTTTACATCAAAACTCATTTTTATAACTCCATTTCAAATTGATTGCATATTTTTGTTCGGGTATAATTTTTTAGATGTTATAATTTTGTATTCATTATTTAAATATTTATATAAATTGTATTTAATTTAAATAGTTATAAAGTGAAAAAAAAAAACTAAATATAAATAATGAAAGTTGCAAACATTAATAAAAGATTTGCAATAGAATGAGTATTTAATAATAGAACAAATATCGAAGTATTATAATCCAATATTACTTTATTATTTTTGGTCACATACAAAAAATCAAATCAAAACTAATCCCATTAAAAAATATTTTCATTAATTTTTATCATTTTCTTCACAATCTATCGGATATTGATGACATGTGTGACATCAAAAATTGATTTGGATCAAATACAATCGCATTTTAATGAACACAATTGTATGTATACAATCAACCTACCTAATATGACTATATTTGAAATCATTTTTCAAACATAGTTGTGTTGTTATACAAACACATTAATGGATGAACAAAAAGTGTTCGAAGTGAAAAGAACTTATCAGTTTCTTTTTTTTTTTTCAAAAGTTTCAAGAAATTACTTGTCTTTACTTCATTAGAAATTATAAAATTTTATATGATTTTCTTCTTTATTTTTTTTATTTTTATTTTTTTTCTTTTACATTTTGAGGGTTCTTAATTTAGGAAAAATAATTTTAAAAGAATCCCCTAATTTCAAGTGCGAGTGGTGTATCACTTCAAGAAACCTGAAGAGATGTTCCACCTGTCATTTTGTTTGGCATTGCAGTAGCTAATGTCAAATAACAAGGATATATAATTTGAATGCTATATTGTGAAAATTTATTTTGCAGTGATCTTGATTAATTTCAAAGAGTGGACTAAAAATTACATTGTGTGGAATGTAAGACATTTCTCAAATATGAGAATGATATAATCACCCTATCAATTGATCGATTATGCAACTTTTTCTACAATGAAAGTTAAAATGTATAAACACGGCCGTGTTTGGAAAATATTTTGAAATGTAGCTTTATTAGGCCGGCTGATGATTGTATAAATACGGTCGTGTTCGGTGAAATACGTTTGTGTTTGATTCAAATAAACTTTTATATCACACTCCGTATGGCCATATCAGTTTTGTCCGTTACGTTGTGAAGAAAATGATTAATATTGAAGAAATTTTTTTTTGAACGATACTAGTTTCGATTGAATTTTTTTTAATAGAATAAAAAAATGATAAAGATATTATTGAATTGTACCACTTCTGATTTTTTTTTTTTGCTTAATATTATGTTAAACATATATCGTTATTTATTCAAATTTTCGTAATTAGTAAATTTTTTTTATCTATCAAATTAATAGAAAAATCAGAAAACTTCTAACATACAATCAAACAAATGTATTTGTATAATAATAATAATAACTAACTTTATAATAGAAATGGATCTAAATTCTAAACATAAGAAATGTTTTATTGGTTTTAGGTTGAGTTTGAAATTTTATTTGAATTTTGATACTTTTTTCGTCAAATTTAAAGGTATATATTTATTTTTGGTGCATAGTTTAAAAAATAATTACAATGAGTAGTTAAAAGTAATATAAAAATAATTTTACTCTAATTTTTTTGTGTAAAAGTAATAATATTATAGTAAAATAGGAATATTTGTAGAAAAAAAATGAAATATTTTTTTGAAATAATTACTTTATAATTAGACAATCTAAAATAAATAAATATAATTTGAGTAAACAAAAAAAAAAGTATAATAGTACTATTATATTAGAAAAAATGATTTATTTTTATTGAAATGTTAAATAATAGTGACTTTATTTAGAACAAAAACTAGACAAAATTAAAAATGTACATTATATTAATAACTAGGAATTATAAGTGTAAATTACTAAAAATTTAATATGATTGAAATTTTTTATCTTTGGATTTATTGTTTTTTTTTTCTTTTTAAATACTGCAATAAATTTCTGGATAGGCTAGCTTTGTAATTTTGTTTAATTTTTTCTAACTATATAATTCTCATTATTTTATTTATACAATAACTATATATCTAATGATATATTTGTAATTTTAATAAAAATTAAGAGTATTTTGATATTGGTTTATGATTAATTTTACTAAAAAAAAATAAATAAATACTTTTGAATGAAACGTATAAAAATAGTAAAAAAAAATACTTTAAATTGGGATGAATGAAATCTTAAAATACTCTTCAAATAACAAATTCAAATTCAGACAAACAAATATTTTGTGTTGTATACCGTAATAATGATTGTTCAAATGACAATTTCATACATTTTTTTTTTTTTTTTTTGTGATTTTAGTTGAACAAGAATCATGACTAATAAAAATAATTTGAATTGAGTATTGAATGAATTTATTATAGTTTATTTGAATTGTAGCTAGTTTTCTTATTATAAATAATGATATGTCGTGTTAGGATAGTAGGTTGATCTATCTTCCCACTCACGCGCAACTTGAGTGTGAGAAACTTGTTAGGGGTTATACATTCTAAAATTATCATAGGATAAATATGTTTAATTATAGAGTTATTTTAAGTGTGTTCGTAAAAAACATAAATATGTACATAATAGATATAACTAGCATAATCGATATATTTAAACTCAAATAAACTCAACTTTAGGGTATCACACTTGCTCTAAGGAAATTTCAAAATGAGTATAAAGAGCACTGAAAGGATTTATGGAGCAGTATACGATCCTTACACGGCTTATGGACTGGAGCGTTACCGTTGGTATTAAAGTTGAGCCACAATAGCCGATAGTTGTTGAATAAATTCTTTAGAGGCCTAGCAATTAATGAATCATTGAAGTGCAATGTGTATGGTTTATTCTTAAATAAGAGATAATGTAATACTTTAGAGTGAGTTAAATTGAATTTAAAAAGTTTGATTAGAACAATATATATATTCTTTTTCGAAAGATCCGAAAAGTTTTTTAAAATATGTATAAATAAGAATAAAACATGTTGAAAGAACTTATATTAATATGTAATACCAGTTTACGATTTTTATGCATTCGGCTTAACGTTACAAATATAAATAATAATTAAACTTAATTCTTTACTGTACTTAAAAACATAACTTATTATTATTATTATTATTATTATTATTTCACAATTATGTAGTTTGTATCTTATAAAAGAAATTATTATTGAATTATCACTTTCGATCATATAAAATATACTTCGTCCGTCCCTTAATAATTTATCTATTTATGTATTTTGGTCCATCCCATAACAAAGTATCAATTTTATTTGTTTTAGTAAGTGTACTTTCTACTAACATTACATATACATTTCAATTTACAATATATTACACAAATATCATTATCTTTATATCATACAATACGGTTAATTTAGTCTTTTTACTTTTATTTGTAAAAAATAAATAGATAAATAGATATGGGACGGGGGAAATTTATTTTTATAAATATTACATTAAAATTAATATTCAAACAAAAAAAAAGTAAATTTAAATTAAAAATAAATCACCAAAATAACACAATGAAAATGACTTTTATTGATAATATTCAAATAATTGTTTTAACGTTCTTTTTATAAAAGAAAAGGCTTGAGTCAGTCAAAATCTAAGGAAACAGCCATTTGAGAGATTAATTCGATATAAAAGTTGACACTTACAATTTTTTTATTTGCTTATTATTTTCAGTTCTATTACATTAACTAGGCTACGTTTGCTTACAGGTTTTTTAAACTTCGTTAATTCGATTTTGGATTAAGATTTGAATACTAAAAAATTTTGAATGTGAACAGTTCTATGATATAAATAGATTTTGATATGATATTTTGAATATAAAATTGATTTTGAGAATAATATAAAAAAATGAAAAATAAGCGTTTGATTTAATATTTTGGGAGAAAAAAATTGAATGAATAATAAAATTTGGAGACAATCCCTCAAACAAACACCCTTATTATTTCCTAAAAAATATTAATATAATAAAATTCATATTGAAAAAATAAATATATACATGTGATTGGGACCAAAGTAATATAATATTGTTCCATATTAAAATTGAAAGAGAAAAAATAAATTCAAAGGCAATATAGCTTAAAATATTTCAAAATAATTTAACAAATTCTATTATTTTTTACTTAGATTTTCGGACTTTTTATTTTTTTTTCACAAATTAATATACTATATATATTCACTATTTATATATATACATATATTTTATGATAATTTCACAAAACAAATAGTATCGGCTTTTCGCAAAATAAATAAATAAACCACTTATAAATAATTTCAAGACAAACAAACCCCAAATTACAGGGGATAAACTGAACTGAACTGAACTGAAATAAATGGGAAGGCAATCACGCGGAGATGGGGAAGCATAAAACCCTAAAAAATAAATAAATCCATCCACAGATGGGGATTTCTCAACAAGTCCCAATTCCCCAAAAATCTTCGGAACCCACAAAAATAAAATAAAATAAAAATACAAAATCGATAAGCATCACCGTCATTCCAGAGGCAAAATTGCAGTCTTGTCGTTAAACGAATAATGACAGCACAGCACAGCAAATCATGAGACGGGCGGAATGAAGGAAATCAAGAATGGAAGGAAAATGCACACGTATACAGTGTCCCGCCTACCCTCCACAATTTAATGGCTAAAAGCTTCCACGCTTTGCCTTTCTTTTTCTTCTGCCGTGCCCCACTTGTAACCGAAAACACACAGAACAACGAGCATCGCCGCACCAGGTCACTCTTCTCTTCTCTTCTCTTCTGCTCTTTCAATATATCGAATATATTTTATTGATGCATATTTATCCTCAAGTATGCCTACGGCTTTGTTATTTCCCATTCACTCCCTTGACTCGTTTTGTTCTCATATACTATTGGAGAACTTGGGGCATTTTTGAGTAATCGAGGAGGCTGCCTCTGTTGGGCTTGCTTTGGTTTCTAGATCAATCTACAGATATCAAGAAGTTGTTTCTTGGGCGTAATTTGTTTCTCATAAATTGGTTTCTCTGTGGATTTTTTATTTTTTTAGTTTTTTTACTTTGTTTTGTAATGCTGATCATGTATGGATTGGATTTTGTTAGGTACTGTGGGTATTGATTTGGTTGAATATTGGGGAAAGATGGTTGAGTGAAAAGAGAATTGTTCTTGATTCTGTATACGTTTATTTGCTTCTTTAATAATTCTGGATTAATCTATGATTGTGTTTTACTTAGTTCTGTGTTGATGTTTGGTGTAATGGTTGCTTTCTTGAGATGAAATGGTATGATTTTACTAGGATTAAATTAGCTTGAAATATAGGGATCTTGCCTTTTTTTGAGCCAATATATTTATCTGAGGGATTGTTTGTTGAGACTGCTAGGCAATCTTGTTTTTCTAAATTAGTGCCTCGCCGTCTTAGATCACAATGTATTCATGTGTTTTAAGTTGCTATCTGCCTTTAATCGGATGAAATTCTGCGAGTTTTATTTGTTCTTATGTGTTTTTTCAGAGATTAATTGCCTAGAATACTAATGGTTAGCGATACGTCCAATGCCGAATCAACTCATCATAGAGCTGGTCTGTTGAAAGATCAAGTTCGAGTGGTTAAGAGGAAGGGCACGGATCGCTATGAGATTGCTCCCATTCCTGATAATTTGTCATTTGAGAAAGGTTTCTTTGTTGTGGTGCGTGCGTGCCAGTTGCTGGCGCAAAGGAATCATGGTCTTGTAGTGGTCGGCATAGCCGGTCCATCTGGGGCTGGAAAGACTGTGTTTACTGAAAAGATTATCAATTTTATGCCGGACATCGCTGTCATTTCAATGGACAATTATAATGATTCAAGTCGGATTATTGATGGTAACTTTGATGGTATGGAATTTTCATCGCTACCCCTCTTTGTTTACCTCATCGATCTTTTTAGATTGTCGTTTATCTGATTTTTCTGTTCTAGTGTTTGCTTCTCTCGACAAAGACTGCCTTTTGCAACTTTTTAAAGCTGTTTATCAATGAAGAATTTGTTATCACACTTGCAATTTGCATGTGTAATATCGACATCAAATAGATCTACTTTCTCAAAATGCCAAGCTTACTCCTATTATTTTTCTTACATGTGGACTTGCCTTTGTGCTTTGTTTTCTTTATACCAAATTTGGCATTCCTTGGCCCGGTGAAAAAATTTCCAGTTGTTCTCACTTATATTGTACACTGTTAAACTTTCCTAAAATGAGTCTATCTGGTCACTATTTCTTGGCCTTTCCTCTTTGTTCATGGTAAAAAAAAATAGATGCATGATGATGTACCTTGAATAAATAGATGATGTAGTTCCCGGTGGTATCATGTTAACAGATCCTCGTTTGACTGATTATGAGACCTTGCTGAAAAACATTCATGATCTGAAGGCAGGGAGGCCGGCTGAAGTCCCAATATATGATTTTAAATCCAGCAGTCGCACAGGATACAGGTCCCATTCCTTCACTGTTGTTTCAATCAAGTTCTAACATTTCGGTAGATTTTTCAAAGATCGTGTGCTTATCTTTGATAAACAGCTACTTTATTTATTTATTTATTTTTTTCTGTTTGTTTTTCCTCGAAATAGTCGGTAACTTGGATGAACATCTATAAGCCTGGAAAACAGAAGTATGCAAGTCAGAAAGTTGCTTGGGTCAATATGTAGTTGAGTTGTTTACGTTTATAATTTTCTGTCCAATTAAAACAGTATGCTGTTCTCATCACGATCAAATTCTCTTTCTTACCAAGTTCATTAAAATTTTCTCTTGGGGATTCCAGTCTTGATCTTTACTATCGGTGCATATGTTTGCGTTGAATGATGATTAGTCTCGTTCCTTGAATTATTAAAAACAGAGACCAGAGTACACATATATATATATATATATTGCTTCATTTAGAATGAATTGCTTTCTGATTGTATAAGACTGATTACTGATGACAGGACAGTTGGAGTCCCAAGTTCCAACATTTTGATTATAGAGGGAATTTATGCTCTGAGTGAAAAATTGCGTCCTCTGCTGGATCTTCGGGTCTCTGTGACAGGCGGCGTGCACTTTGATCTTGTTAAACGTGTTTTACGTGACATTCAACGTGCTGGACAAGAACCGCAAGAAATAATACATCAAATATCCGAAACGGTCAGTATTCCCCATATCAAGCTGGCAATCTAGAATCAACTACCAGGTAGCCTTCTGGAAGTTCTCATTTAGTCTCCTCTGCAGGTGTATCCAATGTATAAGGCTTTTATTGAGGCTGACCTCCGTAATGCACATATAAAAATTCGCAATAAATTCAATCCATTTACCGGATTCCAGAGTCCTACTTATATACTGAAGGTATGTTCCTAGTCCTGATTTATAAGTTTCTACTTTAATCAAATGTTCTGCTTGGTTCTTCAGTCAAGAAGAAATGAAGTTACAACCACAGCATATATAACTGTTTTTATTCTTATTCCATTTAGTCGATGAGGAATGTGACAGTGGAACAAGTCAAGTCAGTCATGTCTGAGGGACATTCAGAAAGTACAGAGCAGACGTACGATATTTATCTTCTACCACCTGGCGAAGATCCAGAGACCTGCCAATCTTATTTGAGGATGCGCAATAAAGATGGAAAATATAATCTGATGTTTGAGGTGCGTTCCTAATATGATGCTTTACAGAGCTTAGTATTGATCGATTTGATATTCATTTTGCAACTTATAAATGCCAAGAATCCTCATTGTATGCTTGCTAGTGATTGGTTTAGTTTATATATTTATGACGGCCATCATGTTATAGTACATGAAAAATATTTGTTTTTGAATATGGTTTTTGTCAATGATGCTTGCTTGAGTTTTATTTGAATATTTTTCCTATCTTCCTATTATTTTAACATGATGTACAATCTTCCTTTTCCACTCACTGTGCTTATTATAATGGTAGGAATGGGTCCTCGATCCTCCATTTGTCATCTCTCCAAGAATAACTTTTGAAGTCAGTGTTCGGCTCCTTGGTGGATTAATGGCCTTGGGATACACTATAGCAGCCATACTCAAAAGAAACAGCCATGTCTTTACAGATGAAGGGGTTTCAGTGAAAATTGATTGGCTGGAACAATTAAACCGCCATTATGTTCAGGTTTCATATCTTGGCGTCTTTATTTCTCTATTTCTGCCCTATCTATTATTTACTTGGCTTTTTTGCTTTATTTTCACTGTCTGCTTAATGTTCTAGACATATGTACCGTGTTCAATCCCTGCTTTAAATGTTAAAATCTTACTTCTACACAAACTAGATGCAATTCTCAAAATGGCATGCATTTAATAGTTGAATACATTTTGATTGAGACAGGTGCAAGGTAGAGATCGCCTTGCCGTGAAAAGTGTAGCTGATCAACTGGGGTTGGAAGGTTCTTACATTCCAAGAACTTTCATCGAGCAAATTCAGATAGAGAAACTCATCAATGAGGTTATGGTAGGTGAACCGATCTGCTTTCTGTTTTCTATGTTCTTTTTTATGGTAGTTCTCAATCGAGAGAAAGAAACAGGAACTGCCAGAAGATTTGAAATCCAAACTTAGCATAGATGAGGACTGTGTCTCAAGCCCGAAGGCAACAATTTCTCGTCCCTCAGCAGCAACCAAAATCAAGAATCTTAGAAGGTGGTTTGATATCCCATTCTTTTTCGATTTAGGAATTATAAGAGTTTTTTCTTTTCCCCCACATAAAATGTGCTAATTTACATTTTGTTTGGACAGTGGCATGTCACATTCATATTCGACAAACCGGGACAGAAACCTGTCCAAGTTGGAGACTAGGTTTGAGGATAGGACAGCTGAAGCACCAATGCCATTAGCAAATCAGGTATGATTCAACTATTTGTGATCAAATGTTTTGTCTTACATTTCCTATTTTCCACGTATCTTACCATTCTTTCTCTGACATATTATTTGGGGGCTCTCACACAGCTTGCAGAACAGATTTCCACACTAAATGATCGTATGGATGTTTTCATGTCATGCATCGAAGGAATGAACTCCAAGTTGTCAAGCTGGAAAACTACCCCCACTTCACGAAATGCATCATTGCAAGCTGAAGTCTGTAATGGCTCCGCTCCAACCTCGTACTTCCTGTCTAGTTTAGGGTCTGGTTCTTTATTACCGAGTTCCTCATCTTCCCAGTTGGCAAAAGAATCATCTTTGACCGAAGAGGTATCAGCCGCCTTTAGTTTTTATACATCCATTCATCTTCTTCTTAATGAGAATTATTGCGGCTGATTGTAGTTGCTCTTCTTTTCGCATCTGATCTGACGAAATTTCATTATAATCTTGACAGTTATCAAGTATAGTTCGCGGTCAACACCAAGTAATGCATCAGCTGGATGTTCTTAGCACACTCTTACGTGCAAATTTAGGGGAAAGATCGGATAAAAATAAAGCTGCCAAAAAGAATCCATCCAAAACTCCAGTGATCATAGCATCGTTGGCACTTGGCAGTTTGGGGTTTTTTTGCTGCAAGGATCTTTTGATCCGGAAATGAGAAACACCCAAACTATTACCATTAGAGATACCAGTGATAGTTTCCATCGCTTACCTCACAGTTTCAGAGCATTGTCTTGCAATGCCACCCTTCGATAATGGCGAATCACCTCTCCAGAATCGAGCATGTGGTGTGCTTAGGCAATTTTGCATTCATTCGGGATTCATTTCTGGAATCCTTAGATTTTCTTTTTTGCATAACATGTAATCTGAAACTCTGATTCAACATTTGCAATGACATTTTTAACTTGAAAGAACGAAAAGTTGAATTCATAGTATAGCATTTGGAGATTGCTAGTGCTTGAGCTCCTGTTATATATCTTCTTATTTTCGACTCAACAGTGTCTTCTTTGGCAGTTCGATGAAAGTCCAAGCAATGCCGGAGCAATTATGGTTGTCGAGAGAAATGAAATGATGATCTTCATTGAGAGGTTAGGATATGTTTCAAATGTATTATCTCTTCATATTTTGGTTGTCCCTGTTTTTTAGATATTATCATCACCTCGGACCAGAGAGTTCAATAGGTTGAACCAGAAATGAGGACTTTGATGAAGAGCCATCTGCAAGATCAGAATCCCGGTCCAAAGAGGATGCGATCCATTTCTCGGCAACACCGTCTCCTTCAAGCATCCGAACAACTTCAGCCATCATCGGCCTCCGTCTGGGAAGGTACTGCGTGCACAATATAGCTACCTTTACCATCTCCTCAAGCTCGACTCTATTGTACTCATTTTCAAGTTCCTTGTCCACCAGGAAATCGAGTTTTTTGTCACGATCAATTTTCTTCACCTGAATCGTAGTTCTTTTTATTATGAGCCAATGATGGATTCGAATGTGAAAATTAATTCTGTTTACTAATACTCAGAACTAACCCAATCAATCATAGATCCTTTCTGATTAGTCGATTTGCTGAATTCCAGCGCAGTCTGACCGGTGATCAGCTCCACCAGCAGAATTCCGAATCCAAAAACGTCTGTTTTCTCTGAGGACTGGCCTGTGCAGAGATACTCGGGTGCTATGTGCCCGACCGTGCCACGAACAGCAGTCGTGAAATGCGAATCCTGGCGGTCCAGAAGCTTTGCCAGGCCGAAATCTCCGAGCACCGCCTCGCCGCACTTGTCGAGCAATATATTCGCCGCCTTCACATCACGGTGGATTATCTTCGGGTCGCACTGCTCATGCAGGTACAACAATCCCCTTGCTGTACCTACAGCAATTCTTTTCCTAGTAGCCCAATCGAGGGACGGTTTGGCTACAATGTAGCGGACACCGGTGTCAGCTACAAGCTCGAATAACGTAATCTAGATTGTAAGAAATTTTTTTTTTCTACCTTTGAGTCTTGATGCGATGTTCCCATTGGACATGTAGGGATAAACCAGGAGCCTCTCAGTTGGAGTTACGCATAATCCATGGAGTCCGAGGAGGTTTCGATGCACTGCAAGGCTGACTATCTCTACTTCTGTCTTGAATTGGATCTCTCCGTCTGTGCTACCTAAATCCTTCATCCTTTTCACTGCTACAGCCGTTCCGTCTTGGAGACAACCTTTGTAGACGTGTCCGAAGCCTCCTTTCCCTATGATGTTCCTTTTGCTGAAGTTGTTCGTGGCCCTCTGTAGTTCGACTAGTTCGAACCTTCTCAGGTTTCCAGGGCACATTTCTTCACCATTTTGCTCTGGAAAAATCGATCAGTTGAGTAGTAAGGTAAGTGGTTTCTGCACATCTATCATTTAAAGTCTGAGAATTTTATGTGAAGTTCACCTGCGAAATCGAAGAATATCTGTTTGCTGTGCTTATTCTTCCAGCATAGTAAGAATCCCAGTCCAAGAATTAGCATGGAAATGCAGCCTAAGCTCGATGCAGTCGCCAAGGCGACGTCGCGGCTGGCTTGTTTTCTTGATGCCTTAGGATCTTGAAAGAGGAGAAAAACCAGACAACCTTAACATTCGAACCAATTCAGACATGAATTAGCAGGTAAGTCTTACTTTGTGCATTATCTAGAGACAGTGATGAATTTCCATTACAGCCTGATTCGTTGCCGGATGAACAGATCATAGGATTCCCTAAAACACTGTCAGTCGACAAAACTATTCGTCAGTGTGTGATTCTCAAGATCGAAACTTCCATTCCTTAACCCCTTACTTGAATCTTTTCGCCAGGATTCTTGGAACAGGCCCTTGCAAATTATTGTATGCCACGTCCCTGCAAAACATAAAATCCAATGGTGCAAACATTTGACATGATTGAAACCTAGAAGATCACAAATCAAGATGGTGTCTGGAGAATTACAGGAAGCTCAGGCGAGTCAGATTGCACAAAGCCATAGGAATAGCTCCGGTAAGACTGTTGTTGTTAAGCCTCCTGTATTAACCGAATTTGAAAAGGGAAGGGATCAAAGGCCAAAACAAAGCTAGGGATTTGATTGGAATGAATGGTGTTCTTACAGGTATCGAAGGTTTTCCAGGTGGGACAAAGAAGAGGGTATTTCCCCTGTCAGGAGATTGTCCGAAAGATCGATCTCTCCAAGCTCTGGAAGGCTTCCCAATTCAGGCGGTATATGCCCTGAAATCTTGTTGCCCTGTAAAAGCCTGCAAGCTCTGTAAGTATCACTTACAAAATTTCAAATTGGATCGATTGATTTGAATTCTCGAAATGAGGAGTTTCTAAAGAAATTCAGATTCGATTATTGTAAAATCTATTTCTGTTTGATTTTCTTGCTACTTACAAGCTCTTGAGTTGAGTCAGATTTCCTATGCCCGAAGATATCGTCCCGGTTAATCCCTGGCTTTGAATTGCCCTGGCAAGATCATCGATCAGTGTTTTTGCAGTTAAGACAAAGCCAATCCATGCAGGTAGTTAAGTTAATTCGGAATTCAGATCAGCTTCTTACAGAGTGATGACTAGGTTGTCGTTTGAGCAGGCCACCATTGTCCAGGGGCAGGGGTCGACTGAATTCTGGTCCCATTGAAGAACACCATGAGGGTCATTCAGGGATTTCTTGATATCCATCAAAGCTTGCACTGGAATATGGAATGAGTATTAATTGTGAGTGTATAAAATTGTATAGATTGATGTAATATGTTAAAAATGTTACCTTCATAGTTGATGCCATTAGGGGTGAGCAAAGCAGCTGTGCAACTCAAGCTTAGCAAAGCTGCAGCTGCGCACAAGAAAATAGGCTTCTCCATTAGTACAAATTAGCTGAAGCTGATCGGAGTCTTGTGTTGTGGTTTTACGAATTTATAAGATTCAACCTTTCACTGTTACTAATGTATAATGTTTTTATTTTGATTTTGATTTTTATTTTGACTTTAATTTTTTATATAAAAATAGTTGTTTGGATTAGTGTACTTTTACAGGGACAGTAAAAATTGAAATGCAGACATTATGAACAAAAAAAAAAAAAAAAAAGAAAAAGGCTAACCAAATACACAGTAGAAATGTTAAACATTGATTTTTTAAAAAAAATCTTTTTTAGCTCCGCTTATTTACGAAATTGGAATTTGACTTGGTATAATATTGCACACTTTATATATCATATTGTGCTGTATGAATATATTTATTGTTTAAATCAATAATAGACTGTGCTACATAAAAATTGTACCCTAATATGTTAAAATATGTATTATATACCAAATAATGTCACATATGCATTATTATTATTATGTTTTTTTTTTGGATGACGTTGGAATATGCAGCTGCTACTTGAAAATGAGCACTGAGTAAACCCTCTACAGAACTTAATACTTTGCAAATCAGATCGACAGAAAAGTCACACTAAACGAACCATATGTGGCAGGTGAGCTGAGGCGTATTGTTTGATTTATATATATATATATTGGGTCAAAGATGAGATGAGACTTCACTACTACTACGACTACTAGAGTAGTTGGGATGTTAATTTTACCGACACAAGTTTGATCAAATCTATTATGTTCTTCAACCTCATCCAACTTTATTGTGGTGGGCTACTCTAAAACTTTTGAAATATATGTATATATATAATCAAACTCTTAATCATTAGAAGAAATGTGAAGAAGATGGCCCCAAATGAATGAATTATTCATGAACAATCCTTCAAGATATATTATTGATTTTATAAATTTGGTGGCTTTTATTTTGTCCATTATACATGTCACAATCTATATTATATATATATATACCTTTTTTCCTGTTTCTTGCTTTTATCATATAGTAGTATCAAAGTTGTTGTATATACATGTTCATATATGTATGTGTGTTGTGTATTGTAATCACAGAATTTGATGATGATCATCCATCATCATCATCCCCTTCTTTGTAATTATTGTTGACCATGGCCCACTTCATCATGAAATCTCAATCAATCAAATCAATTTTATTACTATTTTCGGCCCACATGGAAAGCCTTGGTTACGGTAGATACGAGAATTCATGATAAGTATAATTATTAGATAATTAAAAATATATTAGTAAAAATAATTAATCCATAATATAAATTATTATAAATTAAGATTAAGATAAAAAATTTAAAATAAGATTAAATGCATAATTATTTTTCAAAAAATGAAAATGACATGAGATGTAGGGACGGACAAAAATAACAATATAGACATAGTAGATGAGACAGAGGGAATATTATTTTTTAAGAAAATAAATAAAAATCTTGTGGTTACTGCAAGAAGGGTATCCTGTAGTGACTAGCAAATGCGAATCACGTAGGAATACATTCTTCAAAAATGACATACACCTGTTAGATAAACGGTTCTTAACTTTTGAAAATTTTGAAAAATAAAAAAAAAAAATAAAAAATAAAAAATAAAAAAACTAAGTACTAACTCCATTTTTACTTTGTGTAAGTATATATTTTACCATTTTTAGTTATTCAAATAAAAAATATTTATTCTTTTAGTAAATATGAATTATACTTGCATATTATAAATAGTCTTGCATTTATATTCATTTACATCAATATTCTCACAATAATTTTATGCATAGTAACTGTAAAATAATCTTTACATACAAAATTATTATCAAGTATAATTAAAATATAATATTTGTTAAATTTTATGTAAAAAATAAATATATACTTATAAAATAGACATACAAAGTATTTGATTTAATACTTTATAAAAAAAAAATTATTTAATTCAATATGTTTTAAAAATATTTATATAAATAACATAGTCTTAGATTTTATATATACATACAAAAAACTTTTAACAAATAATATATATCTATTTTATCTAGCAAAATATCATCATATTATAATTTTTAATTTTCTACTTATTTTTAAAATTATTCAAAATTCTTATCCAATTAAACTTTGTTTATTTATCTAATCCTACCTTCAATGAATAGTACAAGTGGATGATGATAAATAATAAGATCAAAAGCAAACTTCAAATAGAAATGACAATAGGTTTGGCACGACCAAGATCCAACCTAGACCCGACCCTTTTATTTAAGTTCGAGTTTAATTATTTGAATATTAATTCGGATATGAGTCGAGTCATATATATTTTAATTGATTTGAGTCAGATCCAAAGGATAAAAATGGATTCGATCCGGATCGATTAATATATTAAAAATAAATGAATTAATAATTCTTTTGCGTTCACTATAATTATACTAAACTCCATATTTTATTATCTAAAAATCTATCTTTTCAATATAATAATAATAATAATAATAATAATAATAATAATAATATTGATCGTGCATTATTGTATAGAATCATGCAAATAGCCCATAATGGGTGTGGTTGGTTTAAATTTTATGTTTTAATATTTTGTTTAATGAAATAATATATTTTTATAATAAATTTTGATAATAGTACAATAATTATTTTTTAAAATTTTTTTAAAAAGAATACAATCAAAGAATATGTTTGTTTAATTTTTATAATTTCAGATATTTTTGATATTTTTGTTACGAGGTATGAAAAATTATGAATACATATATATATATATATATTATAAGATATGATAATTTTTTTTTTATATTTCTGTTAACTGTTATTGTAATAATACCTTATATTTTTAGATAATATTTTTAAAAATTATGTATATTAAAAAAACTAAGTGAACACATTAAAAAAAAAAAGTGTGGCAAGAAAATGAATGGCAGAAAAAGACATATAGAAACTCCAATGGGGGAGACAAACAATGTCTTTGGTATGTTGGATGGATTCATGGATCATATATACTTACCACCACTTTCCAAAATTATTAAATCAATTCCCCTACACATATTCCCACCAAAATGGGATCCATTATTTTTAATAATGGTTATGCTGGATAAGATATATACATATATATCTTGAGACATATTTTAAAGTGTCAAAATACTTCAATTTAAACAAATAATAAAAAAATTGGAGTATTGTTTATAGTATAAATTGAAGAGTAAAATACTGATCAATAAAACCTGAATGGTTTGAATTGTTAGGCATGTCAACGGGCTGGTACGGGACGGGTTTTGCAGGCCCCGGGATTCTCACCAAAATATTAGGACCTAAGATCTGTCCTACCCCATTTCAACCCGGCTCCAGGACCCGTCCCGCCTCGAACCCTTCAAATTCGGGTCCAACTTGACAAATTTGTTTTTTTTTTTTTTAAGAAAAGAATAAAATAATTATTTAATACTAAAAAAAGTATGCGTCAAAGTACCAAAAAAATATTGACAATAGTTCGTAGCAATGACAAGCAGTGGTCCGGATTATAAAGAGAATTGTAGAAGAAACAAATGCAAGCATAAATTTGATTTAGAATAGAGGTTTTATTTTATATTTAAATTTTTTAAATAAATAAATAATATAATTTATATTATATAAAAATATAAATAGATTATAATAATTATTAAATATTCGGATTTGGGTCTGGATCCGAGATGGGGCGAGTTTATAGTAAAATACTTATTATTAGAAAGAATATTGACAAAATTGAAAAGTTGAAGAAACGGTTAGACTGAGTTGTTTCGATGAAAGACTTGAATGTTGCAAAACAAATTCTTGTTATTAAAATTATGCGCAATAAAAAAAAGAGAAGATTGGGTTGTTATGGGAACATTGCATCGAAAAGGCATTGCAAAGGTTTTGAATGTACAATGTTAAGGCGGTAAATACTTTTTTTTCTACTCATGTTAAGTGTCGAATAAACATTCTCGAATGAAAATGAGAAGTCTCATACAACACATGTTTCTTATGCTATGTTGTTGGTACTTCATTAATTTTTTTTTGTCAAATCCAAATAGAGTTTAGTAGAATGCTATAAAAATGGATTTTGAGGTATCTTCCTAGTAATATATATACATATGAGACTTCATTTGGGATGTCATATATCTTTTTTCTTCTAACACAATTACCTGGACACGTCAAGTTAGTATACTGAATTGAAGTTTTTGACTTGGTCTATTAGCGCGTCCATTATATACACTAAAGAGACATCACATGATATTATTATAATTTACAAATATTATATTATTTATATTAATACAATACAAATATATCACATAAATTAACATCATACTATATAATTTCGCATGATATATACTACTATACAACTGTTGTTAATAGCACATAACATATTTATGTATAAGATATCAACAAGTATAAATAAAAATCACCTAATTTTATCTTATACAACAATATTTGTCTGAGATAAATCTAATCCGTATACCACCAGACCATCCTATATGAGACTAGTGCCACTTATTCTTGATCTTATCAATGTGCTTGAAATCATAGGTCATCACCACACTCCCATCCATTAATCTTCTTATACAGAACCTCTCCACCAACACATAGCACCCAAATTCATTCCATTCCTCCAATTCTTCCACTCTGTTAATCTTCACCTGCTGCTGCTTCCCACTCCAACCATGCCCATACCCAAACCCCGATTCGGATTCGGACCCGGACCCGAATCTCTCTTCCTCCCATTTCATCCTCTGCACCACTTCCGCCCTCAAACACACACTACTTCTCTCCTCCTCTCCCATGGCTTTCACCGCCCTGAACCACACCCACCCCTCCGCCTCACTCCACGCAGCTCTCATCCCGCCCACAAAAGCTTCCTCCCTGTCGATTGAGGCGTCAATGGTGACCCGGCGGCTGTTTTGATCGGTCCTGCTGCAGGCGAAGATCTGCTCCCATCGCTGCTCCAGCGTAATTGCGTAGTACATCGATCTCTTCACCTGCTCTCTTAGGGTTAGGGTTCCTTCCTTCACGAACATGGCGGGGCAGTACCATTTCCCCACAGTTACAGCGTCGGAGGCCACGAGCGGCAGGGAGAAATTGAAGTCCGGGAGGCGAGCCCTAATTTTGAAATCGACGCCCTCCGCCGTGCTCAGCTCGCAATTGTCGCCGGACTTGGTGTAAATCGTCCATCCCTTCCGTCTAAAGAACGACGGAGGGAAACCGTCCGGCGCGACGGAGGCGGCGGTGAAGGAACCGCCGGTCAGGCACAGACCTTCGTACGGAACAATCTGGATCTGCTGGTAAACATCGCGTGGATCCAACGGTCGTGGTTCAGCGTCGCTAATACAGCTGAAGATGCAGCACGTGACCTTATCGTCTTCCCTGGAGCAGGCGTATGCTTCTCTGAGAAATCAAAATTCATCAGATAAGAAGACACAATCCTATTTTATGTGTTCATTAATTCTTAAATTAGTTCTTCTTACCCGATTTGCCTTCGATGCGGGACGACGGCGTAGTATCGATTTGCTGACAATGGCTGATTGAGAACAGGGATCAAGAAAACAGGGTCTCGATAAGTTCTGCTGTGTTCGCCTCCTGTTCTGTATCGAACCGTCAGCTCTTTGTTCTGAGGGAACGGCAGTTCTTTGAGGGTTCGGTTCTTGCAGGCACCAAAACACGAGTAGGTCTCGGATTCCTCGTCTTGGATGACTAAGTAGCCGGAGTTCGGACCCTCCGGCGAAGCCGCCATGGTTTCCGGCGACTGCAGCAGCTGAGAAAGACGCTTGGTGACGTACATGGCGGATTCTTGTTTGGTTAGTCTTTAATTTCTTGTACTGTAATTGTAATGAATTGGACTGATGGAATCTCTTATTTGTTTGCTGATGATCGAGCTTCGTGGTAGTTTACACGATTGCTTTTTTTTTTTTTTTTTTGGCAGATACGTACGATGTTTATGACACAGGAATTTGCTTGGAAAGTGATTTGGGATTAATTGGTAGTAAATTAAAAATAATAAAATATTGGAAGCTGACTTATAGACAATACCGAATCAAATAAACTCTCTTTGTCAGTCATGTCCAGTTTCGGGGAAGCTGATGTTCACGTTTACTTTTGACCATATGCAATACTAAAACCCGGTTTTGCGTGAGCCTAGACCGTTCTCGAGTTTTTATAGATCTTGGGCAAAGAGCCCTATATTTAATTTTTATATATATAAATAATATAAATTTAATGATTTACTGTATTTCTTTTTTAAAAAATTAGGTTTTTTCATTTTACTTTTAAATTATAAATTATTTTTATAAAAGATACTACCTCCCAATAATATTATATTATAATTATGTTTAGTAATACACTTCATATTTACTTTCGGGCGAAGGTGGCACGCGGCTATATTTGGAGAAATCCCAAAGACGGAAGTCGGCGGACCGGAAGCAGGTGTTTCGAAAATTCAAGGAGGGAGACTTAGTGTCGGTAAAACTCTACCAACATGGGCGTGTACGAGGAGTGCACAAGGGGTTGATGAGACCCTACGAAGGTCTGTTCCCGATAGTGAAGAGCGTAGGCGAGGTCGCGTGCAAGGGGGAGCCACCCGAGGGCTTGTCCCAACTTCACACGGTATTCCATGTTAGTATTCTTAAACCTTACTATATAGTTAATTATATGACACCTAAAACTCTGTGTCTCAGCTAAAATAAACAAATTTAATAAACAAATTTGCTCACATTAAAATTATAATTTCAATTTAAATTTAGATACAAAAAATTTATATTTAAAATAGTAGTAGTATTTATTTTAAGTAGTATTTATTTTAAATGTATAAAATATTTGTAAGAAAGACCTAAAAATTTTTGAGCAAGGCTGCCCCAAGGGTTGCAATTCCGGCTAGCCTGATTTTTTGTGCAGGCCGCCTAATCTGGTCTAATCCGATTTTGAACCGTGCGGAGCTGGCACATCGTACTTTTCTTAATTCAAATTCACAATAAAATATAAGTAAGACAATAATTTTATCGTTATGTTATAATTTCATTTTTGTTATTATTTTATTAGTTAATATATATATATATTAATAATTGTTTCGGAATATTTTAGACTAAAATTTAGCCTCGAAAATTCTGAGATAATTATTAATATAAATCCACACACATGTGGTGCGAGCAGTTTCTGAAAAATTCAAAAATAATACTCATTTTTTTCCACATAATTTATTTTTTATTTTTTTTTTATTTTCGTCCGTCTCACGTAATTTGTCATTTTTATTTTTGGAAATATAATTATACACTTTAATCATATTTTAAATTTTAATTTTATAATTTTTCAATTTTAATTAAATTATTTATTTATCTTCATCTTAATCTATAATTATTTTTACTAAATAATAATTATTTTTATTAATATACTTCTTAATTATCTACTAATTATATTCTACCTAAATTTTTATATCTTCAGTAATAAATTCAAAATATTTAGGACAGAAGAAGTATAAATAGTCTTGAAAATTTTGAAACTATTTAAAATAATTTCGGATTTTCCAACTACACTCAAAGGGTGACAAGTTTTATTCGTCGAGCACCAATCTAAGACAAATTTCGAAGCTTTATAAAAATAATCTTAGATCAAAAATTTCGAAATTATTTTCCGAAGATAAATGAATTTTTCGTCGCAGTGACATTTCAAAAGTAATTCAAATATAAAATATTGATAGTGTAAGTACACACTAAATAATCACTACGAAGAAAAATAGTATATTTGTAACAAAATTTCGTCCCTAAAATCACGTAGGTAACGTAATTTCATTATTAATTTTGTCTCTAATATCATTAGTAACGAAAAAAATGAATTTAAAGACGAAAAAATCTTGTTACAAAATTAATATTTTCTTACCGTGAATGATAGTAATAATAATAAATCTTTGTTCATTCAATATCGTAACAAAATAACGGTCTTGATTGGGTAACAATAATAAAAGATAAAAAATAGAAATGAATAAAAAAGTTGTACAAAACACCACTGCCTGCCACACTTCATCTCAGCCACCACCGGCACCGGTCTCTGCCACCGCCGCCGCAGCCGGAGAAGCTGAGCAAGATCACCTCCCGGTGGAGCTCCGCCGCCGCCGCCATCAAACGATTCCGACACAACGGACACGTGGCATGCCCGCTCCCAATCCACCTGTCCAAACATGCCCGGTGAAATAAATGGCCGCATCTCAACTCTCTAATTTCATCTCCACCGCCGATTCTGCACAGACAAACGGTGCAGTCCGTCGGATCATCGGAATCCTCGAAGCGTGTGACCCGGAGCTCGTCGGAAAATCCCACCGGAGACCGGCCAATAAGCGTGACCGGAGAAATACGATGATGTAAGAATGGGGTGTAAAGAAGATAATCCCACATCCACTTCAGTTGAGCTATTAGTAAAGTTAAGTGGTTTAGGACAACTGATTTTGGTACGTATGGGATCATGTTTTATTTTTTTCAAGAAAATGAGATAAGATTGTGTTGAGGATAAAGGGCGTTATTGCTATTTATAGGCAAGGCAAATAATTTAGTAATGTTGTATTTTGTGGACTTATGGGTCTTTTGTTTGACCAATGATTGCGATTTTATTATTATTATTATTACTCCCTCCGTCCTAGGTCTGCTACATTGTAGATACGGTATTTTAGGAGTGTGTAATTAATAGATAATTAAGAATGTATTAGTGAAAATAATTATTCTATAATATAAATAATTATAAATTAAAATTAAAATAACTAATTACTTTAATTAAAATTAAAAAATTTAAAATAAAATTAAAGTGTGTAATCATTTTTTTTTAAAAAAAAAAAAAGTGACATGGTATGTGGGACGAACAGAACGACAACATGGATATGGTATCTGGGACGGAGGGAGTATTATTATTATTAGATTGGTTGTTTTGACTTGTGAGTCGCAATCAAATGGAAATTTTTCCAATCAGGATTTCTTAGGACATGGATTTAATGTTGATTGGATAAAATAAAATGTTATATAATAAAAATATAGAACATAACATTTCGATCGGGTTTATTCAGTGCGCACTTTTGGATAATAATTGCAAGTTCTCGCGTCATATAAAAAGATAATAGAACATACTCCCTTGGTTCAACTACCGATACTTTTTTCCTGTTATCTATCCTACAAAGATGATCTCATATTCTATTTTCTATCTCATTTAACAAACATAAATTAATTTAATTAAATTTTTAATCTTTATAAGTACAACTCACTCAAAATTTGTTTATTTTTGTCTCACTCTTTAATTAACAAATATTTTTATTTACATTTAAAACTCTATTTTTGTTATAAAACTAATTTATGATAATGATAAATAAATAAATTAATATTGTATTTAATTGTATTATATAAAACTTTCTTCTTTATAAAATTATATTCATATTATATATATTTTTTATTGAGATATAATATTAAAGTTATTTAAATACATAGATCATTAAATAACAAATTCTCACTATCTAAATAACTAATTTATATTACCTAAATTATCGTGCTCAAACAAAATGACTCATCTTTTTCGGAATGGAGAGAGTATATTTCTATATAAACATATATTAATAATATTATAAAAATTACATAGGTTGATTGACTCAAATTAGTATCATGTTAATTTGACTCGATCAGCATAATTAAAATTCGCCGTTGATTTTGTGACCTCTAGTACATTATTTCATATTTAGATAATTTATTAGCATATTAATTTCATTATTATTATTATTATTATTACATTTTTTTTTATTGTGAACGTGAAGAAATTCAACTTAAAAATATATGTGGCTAATAAAGAAAATTGGATGAAAATTTGATTGTTGAATTTTGGTAAAAGAGCAATGTATGGAGTCAAGTTTGGAATGAATGAGAGTGGGAATTGATTTCTAACCACAACTCAAAGCATAGACCCACTATTTCTTTTCGATTAAATTACTAATAAGTGTGCCCTTAAATTATGGTTATATTTAAAATTTTTAGATTTTAAATAAGCTATTCATCCTATTTATATCTCAAAAATATCAAATAAAATACTTTATTTTTTATATTAAATTAAAAATCAATTTTACATTCAAAACATCACTGTTGTTACACATTCAAGATCAATATGCCATATATATATATGTATAAGAAACACACGAATTAAACCAAAGAACTTAAAGAATCTTTTATTAAACGAAAGCAAATGCTCGAACTCAGTTTACCCAATCTAAAAATCAATCATAACACCCACTGTAACGCACAATACAACCCTAACACAACCGACATCCACGGAAACGCATCCAACATGCGAACCTCACCACGATCTAAGGAAAAACACAAACGATTTAAGCCTAATCCCTCCCAACCACAATATAATTAATACACTGTAAAGGAATGCTCGAAATCGTAAATCGAACCGAGGAACAGCCTCAGCACAGGCTGTTTATCAAGGAACTCAGTCGAATCAGTCGAATTGCTGGACAGATCACCGGAGAAGACTCAAGGAAGATCGTTCGATCGCCGTCGCGATTAGGGCTTTTCAGAGAGAGGATTTGAGAGTCGGGGAGAGAGAAAGTGAGAGTGAGAGTCTTAGTGTGTGTATATACTGGACTGGGCAGAAGCAATATATATATATATTGCATTGTTCTGGACCGGTTCGGTTAAGCCCGGGCGGTTCAGCATCAGACCGCCGGTTCTCAACAGAGAACGGGTTTGGTTCGGATTGCAGGATCCGGGTTTCGGGTTGTGCGGGTTTGTGCGTTACCGGCCTCACTTGTCATTGGCCAAAAAATAACTCCACAATCTCCACCTTTTTGGGCATGGAGAAAGTGGCACATCACGGGTGTCATCACGGTCCGAGCAACGATCGCTTTCAATCTTTTAACCTGCGGACTTACCTACCAAGATTAGAATTCTCAAAATAACAACAAAAAGAACCAGTGCTGGGCAGCAGAATTAAAAAAAAAAATTAATTTACAGTTTTTAAAAAAACCAAATTCTAATCAAAAGTATCAATATACACCGTTTTCTTACACAAGTTAAAATTTGAAAACGACAAAACTTTAGTCCCCATGGCACCCCAATTTAGTGGGGTGGCCGAGAGGATGAGCCGAACCCTTTTGGAAAGGGTTAGAAGTCTTTTGACTTCATCCGGCTTACCCGAAATGTTTTGGGATGAAGCTGTAGTTACAGCAACATATTTGATAAATAGATCACCTTCTATCCCCCTTTAAAGGTATATGTCCTGAAAGTAAATCGTTGGGTAGAAGAGTTGACATTTCTAATGTTCGTGTATTTGAGTGTTCTGCTTTAATACATGTTTGCACTGATGGTTTTGATTTGAAAACTGAAAATTGTGTTTTCTTAGGTTATGGTGTTATGGGGTATAGATTGTGGCTTTGTTCTAGACCCGGATTTAAAACTATTTTTAGTAATAATGTGACATTCAATGAATGTGAAATGCCATGTTTGAAAGTTAAAAAATCTGAATCTGTTGTTTCTGATTTTAGTGAAACAAACACTGTTTGTTATAATACTCAAAATAAGGTGGAGCATGATAAAGTTGAGATAGAAGAGGGAGAAAATAGACACTTTAATTATAATTTTTGTTCTGTCAAGCAACATATTAGTTGTGAATCTGAAAGTGTACAATTTGATAATTCTGAAATTGTTGATATGGATTCTGAAATTGATGTTTGTGTTTGTTCTGCTGCTGAAATTCAAAATGTTTTTAAAAACAAAAATGTTGATTTTGAGGACAAAAATGTTTCTGTATGTTTTGCTAAGCCTGCTGTCATTCATGAATTTAATTCTGATTTTGAAAAAGTGTAGTCTTGTGGTGTAAATTCAGTTGATATTGATTGTGAATCAGAAAATGTGCAATTTGATAATTCTGAAATTTTTTATACTGATTCTGAATATGCGCTGAATGTGCAATTTGTTGCTGAAATGCATGCTGTAAGTGAATCTTGTGATGATAAACCTCTTAATATTGATGTTGAATTTGAAATTCGTGTTCAATCTGCTGATACTGTGCAAATTGATGTTGAATTTGATTATGAGGTTGAAAAGAATAACATTGATTTTCTTTGCAAGTCTTTTGAAAATAAAAAAATTGTTGTTGATTACAAATATGTGCAGTTTTGTGATATACATGTAGATAATACTTGTTGTGAATCAGATTGTGTGCATTATGACATTTTAGTTAATGATGATATGATTTCTGATTCTGTTTTGAGCGTGAAAACTGCTGTTGAGCAACACTTTGATTCTTTAAACGAAAATGTTGTTATTGCTGATTTTGACAAATATGTTCAAAATGTTGTGGAGTTTGATAAAAATAGTGAAACTGAAAGTTTTGTTGGTGATTTTCAAATTGGTGTTGTTGTTGGGCAGCATGTTAAGAATAATTTTGAAAATTCAGTTTATGAAATTGAAAGCAATGTTGGAACTGATTTAAATGAGAAAGATTGAGATTAGAAATGACCTATTTGTTAGAGATGAGTTTAGGAAGAGTCCTATATTGTTCTCTATATTTGGTAATTTGAAGTTATCTTCTTTAGCTTGTTGTATGTTTGATGGCTTATATGCGAATGAATCTATGATTGTTAAGGAGACAAGTAATTCTTGGTATAAGTGTCAATGTTTGGAAACCTTAAAAGAAGATGTGAACTCATTGCTTAAGAATGAAAATTTGAATTTAGTTCATAATACTTATGATTGCTTTGATGATGATTTGTTATCATTGATTGTAAATGATATGTGGACTAGAAAGCTTGCTGGTTTTCGTGTTTGTATATTGTGTGATGCATGTTTTGTTGTAAGACACAATTACAATGTTTAGTAGCTTTGTTAATTGTTGAATTTGAGTATAATCCTATTGGTGAATATACAATGCTTTGGAACGTTGATATGTTTGTATCTTGTGTGAAAATTGTATGTTTTGATACATTTGATTAGCCGGTGCTACTTGTGTGTAGCTGTAGGTTTTATTATGTATTATAGTAGGTTTTTATATTGTTTTAAACCTAACTTGATTTCAATTTTCTTTGTGCAGGAGAGTAATTCAACAATTGGCTAAAATGAACTGTTTTTTTTTTCAAATGAACTAAAATATAAGGAAGCAATGAAAGTTCGGACCGTGATGACACCCGAAAAACAATATTCCACCCCAAAATAAGGTGGAGATTTGTTATATATATTTTGGCCAGTGATTATTGAGGCCTAGAATGCACACAACCGAACCGTACAAATTGAAGCCCGGATCCGGCAACCCGCTACCCGACCCGAATCTTTGAGAGACCCATCGGATCATAGGCTGCCTGGATCGGGACCGGTTTGAACCGGTCTAACTGAGCTGAACCGGTCTACTCTCTCTGTATATAGGCTGATCCATTGAACCGATTCACTCTCTTAATTTCCAGAATAGATACGAGATACAGAACATGACATCTTCTATTCGCGATTCTCTCTTGAAAGCCCTAGGCGATTCCAGTGCGATTCCGTCGACTTCGCACCTGCGTTCTCCGGTGAATCGGTCCGGCAATTTGGAAAGATCTTCTTCTCCTTCGATGCACGCCTTCACCCTTGGGGTTTCTATGGTTTTGGTTTGTCGATTTATGCCTTATTGTTGGTTCGCGGTGTAATTTGTCTGCGATGTGTTTAGGCTTTAATTTCGGCAAAGTTTCCTTATATTGGGTTTCGGTTTAGTCGTGTTTGTTGCGTGTCCGTGGCGTGTCATTTTTTGTTGGGTCTTGGATGTGTGTTCGGTGTCGGTTGGTTTGATATTAGGGTAAACTGAATTCAAACTGTTGCTTCCGTAATAAATCGAAGTTTTCTTTAAGTTTCTTCGATGTTGATTTGATTTCGAGAGAATATAGCCTATTGGATCTTGGATTAGTAATAACAATAACATTAACACCTATTTATATCACATCATACAACTATTTAAATTTTTACTATTCGCCCACGAGTAGTGAAACGTGGTTTTCTGGTCACGAAGCAACCGAAATCGAAGAGACGAGCGAAGAAAAGGAACAAAAAGGCGTAACACCGAGCTTACCATCAGGAATCGATCTAGAAGAGAAAAGTCACCCTCGAGTTGACGAAGCTTCGAGGCCGTCAGCATTTGGAAGTCATCTAAAGCACTGCGTAATCAACGTATCATCTTCCTTGGCTGCTCAAGAACTGCGCCCAACGAGGTCGTCTCTACATTTCGGCGTATTGTCTGAAGGGATCTCGACTACAACAACAACGGCTGAATCATCTATTCCATTGCCTACATTCCAGCAACAAATATCTCCGATTGCGCTAGGAGTCGCATCTGAAGGAGGTAAGGAATCTGACAATGGGTCGAGAGAGAAACAAAGTACGCGACTAAAAATGACGACTGAATCAGAGTTGAGACGCAAACAGTTTCAGCGGCTAGACCAGGCCATGAAAGATCGATTCGACGACTGGGAGAATGCATACAGGCTTGAAGAAGAGCAGCGTAAAACCGACGAAAAGTTTATGTGGGAAGCATCGATGGAAGCTCAAAATGCCGCGGACAACTGGGAAGTACCTGTCGGCGCTGTTCTAGTCCACGATGGGAAGATAATTGCTCGGGGCTACAACAAGTAAGTCGTTTGTTGGCGCTGTTGTTCCTTTTTCTCAAGTATTCTTAATGATCTAAATGCAAAATTGCACAGAAATTCATTTATGTATCTAATTTAGAACAGGATTTCGACTCTGTTATGACTAGGTTAACTGTCTGCGAGACACACTTTTAAGTATATATTCGTTGATTTTAAAATTTTCCGGACCACACAAAACTAATTCAAGATATAGTTTGAACAGATAAATGTCTTTACTCACATACACATGTTTCCTGTCTAATCAAGAAGTTGATTAACAAATCAAGAATCACACACTTTTAAATTAATTACAATAATTGATTAACATTACACTAAATTCTAACTATTTCCACATGTAATGAATAGCCATTTTGCATCTAAAAGCCAACTAAAATGTGCGTTTCCGAAAAGTTTCTATTAATAGGTTTAATAGCCATTGATATGCCTGTGGTCATTCTCTTATATACCAAAAATAGGGTGCAATAGCACCTGCTTATAATGGGTTCATAATTTTCCTATGCACTTTACATCATTCATTCAAGAATCATCCCATCTTAGCAACTACCACAACCACAGCCCCACGAACAATGTATGGTCAAGAAATTCCAGGTTAGAACAAAGAAATCAGCAATGGAAAAATGATGGGAAATGAAAATTAAAAAAAATTAAAAAAAAAAAAAAAAAAAAAAGAAGCAGCAGAGGAAATCCTTACCTGTACATTCAAATCTCCCTTCTTCTGACCTCCGTTATGATGGCTAAAATCCACTCCGATCAGCTCCAACAATTAAGGGACATCTTCAATCGGTTCGACATGAACCACGACGGCAGCCTCACGCAGCTGGAGCTCGCTGCCCTCCTCCGGTCCCTCGGCCTCAAGCCAAACGGCGATCAGATCCATATCCTGTTGGCGAATATGGATTCCAACGGCAACGGCGCCGTCGAATTCGACGAACTAGTCGAAGCCATCCTGCCGGACATGAATGAGGAGGTGTTGATCAATCAGGACCGGCTAATGGAGTTTTTCCGCCTCTTCGATCGCGACGGCAATGGTTACATAACCGCGGCGGAGCTCACCAAACAGATGGCGAAGATGGGGCACCCCCTGTCCTACCGCGAGCTGAGCGAGATGATGCAAGAGGCGGACACCAATGGCGACGGCGTCATCAGCTTCAGCGAATTCGCCAACATCTTGGGGAAATCGGCGATTGATTACTTCGGCATTTCGGTCTCCTAGGGTTTGGTCGAATTAGGGCTGATTTGGGGAATTAGGGTTTGCGAATTTGGGATTTATATTGATTACATATGAATGAATGATGTAATGGGCACGCACAAAAAGCTTGCATCTTCGTGATGTACATGGATTGCCCTTAATAACGACCTCAAGCTCTAATTTAAATTTTATATATTATTCATTAAATAATTTTAGATAATTAACTTATTAAATGTATAAAATTGTTTTCTTCTATGATTACACCATAAATCCTAAAAAAAAGATAATTATGTAAATATTCATAGACAATAACCACTACCATATTTACAAACATACTGTTAATACACTATCGTAATGAAATATTATTTTATTTTAAAAGGATTGAATTTACTTATAATTTTATTTTAAATAATAAATATTCTTCTTAGTATCGAAAAATATATTTAATTTGACGTTAAGTTCGATAATAAGTGGGTTAAGAGATGCTATTAGTTTTGATAAAAAAGGAGAAGATTTCCAAAAGGCTATTTGGAATTCTGTAATAGATTAAAAAATAATATTATTTAATGATATAAAAAATAATTATACATGCAATAATAATATATTTGTAATTTAAATAAAAATTAAGGGTATTACGATATCAATGAATGATTACTTTTTATTAAAATAAAAAACAGATACTTTGGAGAAGAAGAGACTAAAATAATAATAAAAAAAATACTTTTGAGTTGGGACAGATTATTTATAAAAAGTCTATAAATAGATTATATATAATATTTATTTTATGATATAAAAGCCAACTTAAAATACTACTATTAAACAAATCCAAAAATTTGTGCAAACTATACCGACAACACAAATCATGGTATTCCTTGAGGACAATTCACAATGTTTTTTTTTTGACATATAGGTAACTTGTAACTATTCGATTGATCTGAAATTGGGCCTAAGCCCAAAATTAATTTATGGGCTTCACTACACATTCTATAGTAGTCAAATTTAGGCAACATTTTCTAGATTAAAGCTTTCTTATTGGTCCGTGTTCGAATCTTGTTGAGGTATAGAAATGGAGAATTCTGCGAAAAGGACAAAAATACCATAAGACTGCAGACATCTACTGCATCTTCAAAGAGCACGCACCCCGTAATCCTCAATTTCCGCGTCCTTTGCCGATGCCTGCTTGGTAGTGAGATTCCGCCACGAATCTGGGCGTTTTCCCGAAGGTAATGAATGCTCTCTCATTGTGGTGATTTTAATAGCTGTTGAATTCGAGCTATGTACAACCCTTACACGACATCGACAATCTCGCTGAGAACGCGAGGCACGGCGTCGTTTGGATTCAGTGACTACGCGCACTGCCCGATCGAAAGAAGTCCTTGCAGTTATTCCTCATCAGCAGCCTGTTGTTGTTGCTGTGCGGAATCTATTTGTAAAGTACCTGTAGGCTCAACTTATTGCTACAATTTGTATGGACTGAGGCAGTCGTCTTTGATCCAGTGGTCGCCGTATAGGAGACTGGTTTCAGGTGGTTTAGATCGGTTTCATTCTGCTTGTTTTCCGCCGCTTAATGATGTTGATTTTAGGTGTTATCGTGGAGAAGTTTTGAGCTCTAGGAAAACTAGGTTAGTGGGGAGAAAAATGGGGTTGGGAAAATGTATGGTGTATGAGGAAAGAAGTGAAAGAAGCTATGGCATTGGAGGTGTTGATGAGGCTGAGATTTTGCTTAGTTTGTTGGCTGAGGATGTTAGTGAGGATTGTCTTGTGGCAACTAAGTTAAGTAGAAGGGTAGTGAAGAAGAAGAAGCCTGTTGCAGAAGAGATAGAGAATGGTAAAGTTAGGAGTAAGAAGGAAAGAGATGGGCAGGATGGTTTAGAGAGTGAATCTAGATATGAACATGGTGGATCGGCTGTGGTTAGTTCAGGCAAGATAGGTAAAAATGGGCAGGAAGTCCGGAGGGAAAGATCGAAGGAGAAGCATGATGATGGCTTGCTGAGAAATCGGGGAGCTAGAAGGAAAGAAGAGAGTGTGGGATTAATGTCGAAAATGGGGAAGAAGGACAATGAACATAAAGAGAGGAAAGCTAAGTTGAGAGAAGAGAATTGGAAGGTAACTTCAGGGGTTGAAGAAAGAGAAGAATTGGTGAGGAGAGAGGAAAGGAAGCAGAATCTGAGGAAAGAAGGATCTAGCTGCTCATCGTACTACTCTTTCTCTTCAACCGGTGATTATGAGAGCGACAACGATGTGGATCTTAGGGGAGAAAGATATTCGGGAGAGTTTTCAGGGAGGGAGAAAAGGGATTCGAAGAGCAATGCAATAGTATACAAGGTAGCTAGAAAGGAGGAAAAAGATGGGCAAGAGGATTATAGAGGAGATCATGGATTTGTTTCGACAAAGAAAAGCTCACAAAATGTCGGTTTGGTTGGATCCAGTGTAGTTGAGCTTGGCCTCAGGAAAAGATCAGAGAAGAAACTTGCTGATGTATCAGTAGAAGAGTTCGATTCGAGAGAAGAAACCTCACAAAAGGAATCAAAGCTGTCGAGTAACAAGTCTTTAGATTATTATGTAAGCTATGATGACAGGCAAACAGGCAATGAAGTTTCTAGACAATCTGAAACAAGGATGAAGCATAAACAATTTGCGGATATGCAAGAGTTCCATGGTGAAGACCTTACGAACTCTTACAGCTCTCAAAAAATATACAGAGGCGAGGAAGAGAAGTCTTCTAAGGTTGCAAGTTCAAGCCAAGAAACAGTTGAAGACCTTCGAAGAACAGTTGGTAATAGCTCCAAAGAGGATATTTATCAAAGGAATTCTGTTCTGAAAGTATCAGAAGTTGAAGATATTGATATCAGAAAGACTTTGATTTCTCGAAAAAGGATTGAAACCGATGTCAAGGAGGAAGAGCATTCAACCAATATTCACAGTTCGATCAACGATGCTGCTAAGAAAAAATGTTATGACCAAGTAACTACCATGGTTGATTCAGGGGGGCGAACCCAAGAATTAACCAAAAAGGAAGGCAAGTCGATTCTGAAAAAGGTGTCCGATAAGCATATTCAAGAAAAGAACATGAGAGATGATTCGAATAAGGGATATGATGTGCTGAGCAAAGTATCGATCATTCACAGTGGAGATTCTGGCGAGATCAACAAACAGGGTCGAAGCAAGAGTAAATCAGAGATACAAGTGGGAGTTGGTGCATTGACAAATGACACCATTGCTATTGCTGAGGTCACTGATGAAGGCTTACAAATTGTTTCTAATTTGCCACATTTACAAGAACTCGAGGTCTCTCCAGGATTGCATCAAGAAACTTGTGGTGAGGCTAGCAGTAGTGCTACACACAGGCTGCCATCAAAGTTAGACTCGACCATTGGATCCGCTGCTCGTTTGGAGAAATCCTCGACACAATACATAGGTGAGTTCATTAACCAGGTGAGAGATGAAATTTCGAGTTCTGAAATCCAGAAGGAGCATGAGTCAAGAAGTGATAGTCAGCAGTCTGGAACTAAAGGGCCCTCTGATGAAATATGGACTGTCGAAGAACCATCTGTTCAGGAAGCGTCGAAAACAGAAGACGAGGATGATGCAAGCAAAGCTGTAAAGGGTGTCGATAAGAGAAGTGGAAGGTCCTTGTGGAATCTAATTTCCGATATTGTTCTTCTACGGTGGTCTTCCCGTGCAGAAAGTCACGGCTCAGGTAAGAAGACAGGCAGAAGTTCGCCCACGAGTAGTGAAGCGTGGTTTTCTGGTCATGAAGCAACCGAAATCGAAGAGACGAGCGAAGAAAAGGAACAAAAAGGCGTAACACCGAGCTTACCATCAGGAATCGATCTAGAAGAGAAAAGTCACCCTCGAGCTGACGAAGCTTCGAGGCCATCAGCATTTGGGAGTCATCTAAAGCACGGCGTAATAAACGTGTCACCTTCCTCTACCGCTCAAGAACTGCGCCCAACGAGGTCGTCTCTACATTTCGGCGTAATGTCTGAAGGGATCTCAACTACGACAACGGCTGAATCATCTATTCCTTTGCCTACATTCCGGCAACAAATATCTCCGATTGCGCTAGGAGTCGCATCTGAAGGAGGTAAGGAATCTGACAATGGGTCAAGAGAGAAACAAAATACACGACTAAAAATGACGACTGAATCAGCTGGTGATGAGGGGGAGTCGAGACGCAAACAATTTCAGCGGCTAGACCAGGTCATGAAAGATCGATTCGATGACTGGGAGAATGCATACAGGCTTGAAGAAGAGCAGCGTAAAACCGACGAAAAGTTTATGTGGGAAGCATTGATGGAAGCTCAAAATGCCGCGGACAACTGGGAAGTACCTGTCGGCGCTGTTCTAGTCCACGACGGGAAGATAATTGCTCGGGGCTACAACAAGTAAGTTGTTTGTTGGCGCTGTTGTTCCTTTTTCTCAAGTATTCTTCGATTAGTAATCGTAGTATTTCAGGGTCGAAGAGCTGCGCGACTCGACTGCCCATGCTGAGATGATATGCATAAGGGAAGCTTCGAACATACTTAGGACATGGAGGCTTTCGGTAATCTAATCTTCTCTCTGTTCAATAGCTAGTAATGTATGGTCGACAACTAAAGGTGTTTCTAACATGCCAACAGGAAACGACCCTTTACATAACTCTCGAGCCCTGTCCAATGTGCGCCGGAGCAATACTTCAGGCTCGGGTGGATACTGTAGTATGGGGAGCTCCAAATAAGCTTCTCGGAGCCGATGGAAGCTGGATTAGGTATGTGAAAGATTCTTGCAACATGAATCTATCCGAATGTTCTGTCTTTGTACAACCTTTGATCGAACATTTGCAGGCTATTTCCGAGTGGGGATGGAGGAAACGGCTTGGAACTCTCCGAGAAGCCTCCTGCGCCAGTTCATCCTTTCCATCCGAAGATCGTCATCAGGCGAGGCGTGCTGGCATCAGAGTGTGCTGAAGCAATGCAACAATTCTTTAGACTAAGAAGAAAGAAGGACAAGAAACCCGACTCTTCCGCGCCTCCTCCTGCCGGCCCCCCTCCGGGAGGCCCCCATCGACCCCTGAAGTTCTTGGCAAAGATGCAAGATGCATTCAACTTAATGTTCTGTTTGTAGGTCCTGATCCTGTAGTGTTCTTTCTTTGTAGTGTTGTTGTTTGTTGTTTAATTCCATGTAACCTGGTAAGTAAGAGCTACACTTTTTGGTAAGAAGATGAGAACAATGTCTTTATTATTTGGGATATGTAATAATGTTATTAACAGATGATGATAGATGTTGTTCACAATTGAAACATTAGATTAGATGGCAAAAGGGTTTTTTTTTCTAGACATCATTCAAACCTGCATCCAATTCGATGTCCTCCCGAAGGTTGTACTCCGTCACGAGCCCAAGATTGTCGACTAGTTTGTGATACCTTGAGCATCCTGAACACTGTACAAGAATAGGTCGTTGTGTCAATTCAAACAAACTAATTTTCACTTATTTTGTACTATGCATTTTTCAAAAAATATCACAACAAATATATATATATATATTTACAAAACATTAAATCAAATACTAATTTTTTATTTTTTCCAAACTTCCAAAATTTCCAAAATCTTAAAAACCCTCTGTCTAAACGGAGCCTAAAAGACTTGAGGTAATATGAAGAAATGAGCTCTGCATAAATTGCTTTTCGGGACATTTTCTTAGCATATGTATGTTATCATGAAAGAAATCCAATTGCTATATTAAGGATATTTGTTCATAAAAAATTGGCAAAGAGATATTTCAATGAGGCCAGGCAATCAAACAGAAATGAAGTGGTTAAGACCTGTACGTAGACAAGGCCACGCTCGTAGGCTAGTCGATTTATTAGCCTCTCTGACCGTGTGCCACAAGCATCACATGTAAAAGTTACCAACAAACTTCTTCGCGGGAGCTTCAGATCAATGGTTGCTTCCTGGAAGCAAGCAGTGATGTTAAACATGAGTATACTATTTATCGACCAAACCAAGAAAAGGAAAAGACACTACTTAGTAAACTACACGGGCCAAAACAATATACCAGATGCATCACAATTATCAATAGAATAGTTCATCAAATCATCATTCTAACTGTTGGTTAAATTTACTAAATCTGAACGTTCATACAAATATATGAAGATATGCTCCTTTAACAACATCCATCTTTAAAAACCTGCAAATCATATTGTAACCTGATATCTAATTGGATATGAAAAAACTTTGTAATTGAGTAAATCAAAAGTTTTGATTTTCTTTGGAATTCTGACAATCAAGAAACTAAGACAACATGATTCGTATGTAGGAAGATCATCAAGACACACAAAATCTAAAAAATGCCAACAAAATGGTGAGGGAATTCTTCTTTCTACCTCTATCTTGGCACACAGCACACTATGACAAAAATCACATTGAAACTGCACACGTAGCTAAGAAAATGCCAAAGAATCCACCAAACAAAACTATTAAACTTTCAAAACCACAGAATAAAAGGCACCAAGAACATTCACCTACTTTCTCAAATCATCGACAGCCAGTGCTAAAAATTCAAAACCATTCTTATACAAATACTTGATACAAAGCATAGATATATTAAAAAAGAAACACATATTGAAACTTGAAAGCATAATCATCTTTAAGAACTCAAACAACTCAAAAATATGTCAAATTAGTGCAATTGAGACATTCAATCCAAGAGGAAATGAATTACTTGTTGAGAATCATTAGAATCAGAGGACGGCTCGGTTTGGCGACAATCTTCATAACCATCTTCCAACAGACTAGCAATCCTTGGCACTATAGAACATTGCCGCAATGCCTTATTTGTTCTACAAGAAGTGCTCACCCTGCAATTTACATTCATAAAACCGCATAATCAACCTCTAATCAAACATCCTCGATTGTGAGCTAATACACAGTTTTGTACTTTTCAACAACTATGTCAAACAATAGAGCCAAATAAAATCCTCTCACAAACTCACGAGTTCGAATTCAGACTCTAGAAATCCACAACCAAAAACAAAAAAAAAAAAAAAAAAAAAAAAGCAGATGAATCTAAGAACACTAAAAAAGGTGCAATAACAACTGCAATCTACAACAATTTCAGTATCTGACCTGCTTAGGGTCAAGGATTTCCAGCGGCAACCGAATTTGGGATCAGACGGCTGCGAGTAGCCCAGCGAAGAAACAGGAACATCGAATTTGGCGCGAGCGCCGGACGTCGGCCATTGACAATAATCAAATCCAAAAAGCTTGCAGCTGTTAGTGGCAGCCATTTCAAACTGCAGCTGCCTACAACAACGGAACGAAACGATTTCATGCCATCACTTGTCTGTGTATATATAATACGGTAAACAAAACTATATTGGGCTAAAAATCCCCAAGAATTTCAGCCCATTCCATCATTTTGGGCTCTTATTGGGCCTACCAGTGAACAATTTAATATTTATTAAATGGGCCAATGTAATTTTATCACTTTACGTTTGCAATTTTTCACCAACAAACTTATGTAAAAAAAAAAAAAGCAATTTAAGTATGGTAAGATGTCCTGGTGGTGTGGGACTTGCATTCACGCCTCAAGTTACCTGCTTATTTAAATATTTGTTCCGTAAAAAATGGCCTGGTGGTGTGGGACTGAATTTGCCCATTTTTGGATAGCGGCTACCCAAAAAAAAAAAAAAAAAAACACACAGAGAGAAAGTGTCATTAACAAATAACAATGCAATATTTTTGTGTTGTGTGTAAAAGAACCAAAATATTCTGTTTTTGGTTCTTGTGGGATGAATACAAATTAGTCAACAATACATGTTGCTGTTGTTGCATCCTAAAAAAAAAAAAAGAGGATCTTGATTAGGCCCACTTGTTGATGCAATTTAGTCAGTGAGATCAGATCAGATCAAATCAGTCTTGTTCATCCACTTCATGAAAAGGCAATGGCACTGTCTTCACAGCCCTAAACTTCCCGGCATTGTTCAAATGCTCATTCTCCAATCTGCACCCACAATTTTCACTTTCAACGGTTGAAAAGAATCCGACTTTCAACTTAAAATTAATCGGTACAAGTGGAGTGATGTTTCGAGCGAAATGAGTTTCTGCATATTTATCAATGTGGGACAATATTATTGAAATGATAATTTTGAAAATTCATACAAGATCAATACTAGTACAGTGGAAATTTCGAAAAAATGACGATTTTGTGTAATTATTAAAGTTATTAGTTTAATTACATTACCTGTAGAAATTCCATTGTCCTCTTCGGACAACCTCGAGCGCAGCCAAGAACAGCGTCGTCACTCTGTAATCAACCTTCTCGAAGTTGTAATGGAACACTGTCTGCAGCCATGCCAGCCTCAGCACCAAATTCAATCCCTGTTTCATTCATTCATTCATTCCGCATCTATATAATGACACATATACATACATACATACATACATACATACATATATATATCTATATATGCATCTATATGTATATACCATGGAGAAATAGTAGATGAACTTCTGGCGGAGCATCAGCTCGTCTCTAAGCCAAGGATTCTTAGAATTGATCTGAAGAAGTCCCCAATCCTTAACAAAATCCCAGTAGAGTTGGTACACCGTCGCCGCCGTCGACAAAACCACGACAAGGCAGAGCCACCCGGCGCCGCTCTCCTTCTCGTACGCAACCTTTGCGCCCGCCGCCAGCATCGCCGACACGTACTTCCCGAGGTTCGTCAAGTGGCTACCGTGCCCTTCGTCGATCCATCTTCGCGCACACTACATATATATATATATATATATATCAAGGACATGAATCCGCGGTAGATCTCGTCAAATCAACATCACATATTTATATATATCTCAGTATATTTATAATACAACATATGTTATATTATAACTCAGCATATATTGTACTATATGTAAATATAGGTCGGTCATGTGTACACCATATGTTGATATGGTCAATTCAGCATATAATTATACACATCTCAGTATACTTATAATACAACATATGTTATATTATAACTCAGCATATGTTATACTATGGGTGTGTTTGTTTGGGAGTTTGGATTTTGAGTTAGAGATTTGGATAGTAAAATTTTTAATTGAAATAGTTGTATGATGTGATATAAATAAGTGTTAATTTGATGTTTTGAATGTAAATTTGATTTTTAGTATAATACAAAAAATGAAAAATAAATAGGTGTTTGATTTGATGTTTTTGGAGAAAAAAAAATAATTAATAGTGGAAATCTTGGAGAATCCTCCAAACAAACACACCCATAATATATGTTGATTCTGTGTATGACATATGTTGATCACTCAAATCAGTACTACGCTGACTTGGCCGGATCAGTAGCTATATATCAATCATCATCGGCCGCGAAAAAGAACTAAAAACATCAGAATTATCTATATTTTTTCTCGACAAAAAACACGCTTACCTGCATCGCTCGCCAATAGTATGGTAAGAAGGAGACGGCGTAGGCGAGGTCGCGGTAGTACCCGGTCCTCATGCAGTAGTTGTAGTCCTGCGTTTTGTAGCTTCCGGTGATGTAATAACACGCGATGTATTCGAGGTTCCGGAGCATCGGGACCTGGCTGCAGAGCTGATCTGCCGTGAAAAAGTCGAGCATCGCGACTTTGTAAAGCGGCGAAAGCGCGATATTTCTTATCACAGACAGAAACCGGAGGCGGCTAGACCTGTAGAAAATGTCGAACGGGCATACGAGGACCACGACAAACGCCATTACGACGAGTCCCGGGATGGGCTGAACTTGCGCATACGAGAAGCCCTTCGCGACCAACGAGAGGTGGAGGAAGAGCACACCGATCACGGCGGCCATCGACGCCGCGCAGATCAAGAACACGTCTCGATACTTGAGTTCTTTCGTCGGGGAAAGCTCAAAGATGAAGGCGTAGTTTATTCGCGCCTTTCGCCACGCGAAAATGTTGCATCCGTAGAGGAATAGGTGGAGGAAGAGGAGGCTGAACAAGCTGTCGAAAAACAACTGAAATTTCTCGATGATCTGGTTTTGTTTGTAAGAATTCGAAAAAAGAACACACAAAGCATCAATGTTTTCGGACAAGTTTATTTTTCGATCACTTGCCTTAGAACAGGGTAGACTGTTTCCATGTACATTACGTCCGAATTCGATCTGTACATCCCGGCGAGGCGCGCCATTATGACATATCCAACGAAAAAAGCGAAAAAGCAGCCGGTGAATAGCCCTGTTTCGTTCAGAAGAACAAAGTTACTTATATAACACTTGTTTTCTCCTTTTTCTTACAACACTTCAAATGTAGTTGCTGCATGAATATGTTGAAATTTAGCTAAAAAAGATTTTGTAGTAAAAGGTAATGAATTCTTAATAAAAGAGTTTTTGCAACTAAATAAGTTTCGTCCCTATTCTGTATTGGTAAAGGTTTTTACCGACAAATTTGACTTTAGTAACAAAATATAAGTTTTTTGCAATAAAAATTAAGAAAAGAGATACAACTACAAAAATATGATTTCGTAGCTAAAACTCTTTTATAAAAATAAAATTTCTAACAGAAGAACTTTACATGTATAATTTTTTTAGTCAAATGGTTTGAGCAATGAAATTTGATTTTGTAGCTAATATCATTTTGCAATAAAAATAGGATTTTCTAGCCAAAAATAAAAAATAAAAAAATTAGCTGACAAAATTAATTTTTGAGTAAATTTATTTTTAGCGACAAAAATTATTTTTATTGCTGAATGATATATTTTAACTATAAAAATATTTTATAGTTAAAAATATTATAGCTAATTATATATATTTTTTTTGTAGCGAACTCACCGATGAAAAATGTGACGGCGTGCGACTCCTTTCGCTGAGTCGGCTTGAGATATTTCATGGCCTTCCGTTTATCATCTTCGGCGAAATTCTTGACAAAATGTTCCTCAACTTCATCCGCTAACTTGATGGCCTGCAACAGTGGATAGATTCGGATCATAACATTTTCATTACACCTTTTTCGATCAACCACTAGACATTAGAACAACATGCGTACCTTGTCCGAGCTGTTGAAATAGGAGCTCTCGACTACTCTCAAGTAAATCGGAAGAACTTGTTTGCTAGTTACCTGAAAGAGGAAAAAGAAAAATTTTAAACTACCGTCTCACCTAAAAATTTAAGCTTAATCGTGAAAGTGCGCACTTTGTCGAACTTCTTCAAAATCTTCACGAACGCGAGCATGTTCAAGTTTCTGAGAGAATCCAAAAAAGATCGATATTACAACATATATATATAGTTAACAAAACTTTTATTTTAGGACAAAAACATTAATTATTGGGTAAACTAATTTTTAAATCCCGTAATTTGATCCCTTTATCGTTTTAGTTCCGTAACTGGTGTGTGTTTCAAATTAGTCCCGCGAAAATTTTCGCAATTTTAGTGCTTTAGCGTTAGAAATGCCTACGTGGTACCCGCATGGCTCGCCGGAAGACACCGTGTAAAATTTTTTTAAAAAAATTTCAAAATTAAAATTTTTAAAAAGTTAAAAATATTAAAAAAATTTCACATATCTGTCGGGTGTCACTGACTTAGCGGACACATCTTCCGGCGAGTCAAGACTAAAATTGCAAAAAATTTTGGACTAATTTGCGATATGCTCCAGTTACGAGACTAAAATGATAAAAAAATCCAGTTACGGAAAAAAAAAAAAAATCAGTTTAACGATTGAATTAATTAATGAATTACCTGTAAGTTTGAAGGTACCCTAATCCTTTGTATAGCTCGACGGAGGCTCCTTTAATCATCTTCTCGGCGTGGTGTAGCTTTGTTTTGCTGATATGGAGTTTGTTGGAGGACGACTGATTATTGACCATGTCGTCCCAGAGCAAGTATGTAATGGCTGAGAAGGTGCGTGTCGGATTCGTCAATGGAATGTTGATTCGTAGGTTCTTTCCCTGGCAGTTTACGATGCCACCGGAAAATGACGTCATCTTTCCGTCCACCTTCTTCCTCGCTTTCGCCGCTTCTCCCGACTTGGGAGATTCCAGAACCTTCATTTCATCCTTGTTATATTCTTCCACCAAGTTCTCCTGCTCCTGCTCCTGCTCCTGCTCTGTTGAATTTAACTGAATTAGCATTAAATTTGTTCAAAAGAATTTAAAAAATAATAATAATATTCAATGTTATATTTTAATAAAATTATAATAAATGAGAATTTATTTAGTATTTCTATTGGAAATTATTAGTATATGATTTTAACTGGCTTTATTTATGTTGGTATGTAGTGCTTGTATAAATGTTGTATCTTGTAAATCAATTGGGAATTGAATGAAATTATTATTAATTTATTTTATAATAATTATAGTTCGTAAAATTAATGTAATATTTCTTATTAGATTAATGTAATGGCAATCACTTGGAAATTTAAGTATTGAAATTCCTATTTTCTAAAACATATATATTATACAATGTTTTAAATAATAAAATATCTTAAATATAATATTTTATAGTGAGAAATTTCAAGTAATAATACAAAAACAAAGTTAAAAACTTAAATAAAGAGTCTTTGGTTCGATTTATTTAGTCACGAATTTATGCAATTTATGTTAAATAATAAAAAATTTGGCTTTTATTATTAAATAATATTATATTAAAATTACTATTTAAATAAAAAATCTAAAATTTCTTTTAAGATCATATTTTGATATTTTGAAACAAAATGGTTGATAAATATCACATTTCATATAACAAATGAATGGTTAGCAAAAAGATTGAATAATAAAAAATAATATATATATATATATATATTTGTTTGGTTATGATTTAAAATAAGATATTGATTTAAATTTTTATTGATAATTATCGATTATAAGGAATATTAATTTTAATTTTTTTTTTTTTAAAAAAAAGCAATAGTTGGTTGCATTACTGTTACTCCCCTTCATCAGTTGAAAAATGAAAACTGGCATTAACGTTCAACCTAATTCATGAACTTCAAGGTTGGACATGGCTAAGTTTCGATGTCTGCTGAAGAGCTGCAGATTAAACCACATTTAGAACAATTCGATCGTACCGCATGATATCGTGCCGGAAATCGACTCCTCGTCCTTCGAGGAAGACGACGATGAACCCTTCTCACACTTCTTCTGCAAAGCCATTTTCAGCTCTGTAAGAATCTGCATTTGCTTGTCCAAAGACTCTCCCCTCTCCAAGAACTCTTTCTCCTTCGTCTTATAAAACTGATTTACTTTGTTCAGCTGCCGATCGAGGCAGGCGAAGAACTCAACGGCCCCATCAGAATCAGCGAATTGCTCGAGTAATTCGGTCTCATAAAAGTCTGTCTTACTCGACGACCCCGCAAGCTTGCGATGAACCTAAGAACAGAGCCATTACAATGTTAGAAGAAAGAACGCGTGAAACATTTTGTAAGAATGGGATGGAATTATCGACATACTTGTATGGTTTTGTGGTCGCGATTCTTGCGCATGTAAGAAGCGCATTTTTGTAAGGAGGGGAAGAAAGAACATCGGATTTTGTTGTTAGAAACATGAGTCTTGTCGTCGTCGTCGTTTTTGTTGTTGTTGTAATCTTGTTCGCGGATTTTCTTGATGTCCTTTTTCAGCTGGCGGTAGTCTACGAAGGCTTCTTTCCATTCGGGGACTAATTGTCCCTCGAATTGCTTCGAGAACTTCACCATCTTCGGAAAGAATAAGTTGTGAGTTCTTCTTTCCCTTTTTCTAAAATTTTTTTTATTTTCTTTCTATCTTCTCGTCGTCCCCATGAATATTTATTTATGGCGAGGCGGGAAGGGACTTATCAAAAGATGGGCCGACATACATAGTAATGCTTGACAACACATACATACTAATGTTATATTCCTTTGATCCTCTATTCTCATTCCCCGCATTTAATTGGGTTCTGATTCTCTCCAACCATACATATCAATATATATATATATATATATCGATATCGATATCCATCTGCTGGTACTCGATCGATCGAACGAGCGTTGTCTGATTCAGACCAGACCAAATGTTGCAGGCAGGCAATGTAATACTCCGGCCCACAAATTGGAGTCGTAGACTAGCTTCACAAGTCAACACAGATACTTTCAGCGCGATTTGACCTAAGTCTATAGAAGAAAAAGTCTGTGTCTGTATTTGGTTCTAAGCAGAGAGACAATGAAAGATTGAATTTGAATCCCACTGAAAGTTTATCGGATAACAAATTATGCTGTGCAATAATTTTGATTTTTGATTTTGATTTTTTTTTTTATTTTATATTTAAATTTAGGGTTAATTGGAATCCCACTGAAGATGGATCGGTGGGTGTGTGCGAGTATAATCCATCAATTATTCTGTGTGGATGCTGAGATGATTGTGTTGATTCGAGCTAGCTTCTCTTGTTGCTGTCTTAACTTATTTATTAATTAATTTATTTATTTAATTCATAATTATTATAAAAGTTATGGGACTGTATAATATTTAATATTGGTTTGGTGTCACAAAAAATATTATCTTTATACATAATTATTACTTTTATTTTTTATTTATTTTGCTGACAAAATTGTTGGATGCTAAATGACCGTCTCATCTAAAAATTCGAACAAACGCAATCATTAATTATATATTCGTAAACAGAGTCTCCAATATGCCCCCTCAAGTGCAAGCTGGGTATGCGAAATTGACACATGTATACGCCGCAAATGGGGGCGGCGGGACTTGAACTCGAGACCTAATCAAACTCTTATACATGTTTAAATATTTGCGGAAAATAGAAATTGTATATTGACCAAAAAATAGAGTTTCAATGTGCATGTATACAGGCATATATATATATATATATGTGAGCCCCAAATGTTAATATATAAAAAATATGCTAAAAAAAATATATTATATATGTTTGCAAAAGTCGTCGTTGTTGTCATTTAGTCGAGCGTGTGACGTTCACACCACATGCGATCACGCGCGTCCAAACGACATAAATGATATGACTTTGTAAATATGTAGAATATATTTTACCAACAAAATAAATAAATGACAAAAAATGATAGTGAAGTATATATGAAATATATTTTTTGCAATTTTTTCGTTTGGCTACGGTGCTAACATATGATATCCAATAAGATCGATAATAAGACATGGTGTGTGAACTATTAGTATAGTATTTTATTAGGTTATATGTTATACTTGTATTATATTATTATAATTTTTGTCTTGTGTGCCTACTATTTGTATATATGCAATATGTTGTCGATGCTGAATAATATCGATCAATACTCTAATTATACCCTATTTATATATACACTTCAATTAAGTAGCTATTGTCTTAATCAATACATAAAAATACTATAGATACCGTATGAAAATATAATAGATAGTTATATATATATATACTATAAATTTTATATTATATCTAAGTATATATGACAGTGCTATAACACCATTATAGTTACTTGGAATTTAGTTTTAATTTTATTACTATGTAGGTAGTCATTGTGATTTTGTATGATTAATAATGTCTCTTTCGTCTCAAAATATACTTAATTTTTATTTTTATTGTATTTTATCACATTAATCAAATAAAAAATAATAATTATATATTTTTTTCTCCTATCACATTACATCACCTAATTTTTTACATTATTTTATTTAATATTATCTACCTAAAATATTACACTATATTTGGAACAGAAAAAACAGTACTACCTCAGTCCAATTCTAAAAGTTTCATTTATTTTTTGTTTGTTGATATTTGAATATTAGTTATTATATCAAAGTGTAGTACAAAATAAAGAAAAATTACAAAAATACTTCTATTAGTCTGTTATAATACTAATAGAAGAATATTTGTACAAAAAATTATACAAATATAAAAATATTTTTTATGTTAAATATAGTTACGCAAAAGTTAAATGTAACCCTTGGAGACAAACGGAGTAAGTATTATTTTTCATTACAAAACACCACGTTCAAACCATTAATCAAACTAAAACTAAAAAACTAACTCTAAATAAACAAAAGCTTGTGCACTTCAAATTTATTTATCTTGTTATACAATCTATTGGGTGTGTTTGTTTGGGGGTTTGGATTTTGAGTTGAGATTTAAATAGTAAAAATTTTGAATTTGAATAGTTGTATGATGTATATAATTAGGTGTTGATGTGATGTTTTGAATGTAAAATTAATTTTTAGTATAATATAAAAAATGAAAAATACGTGTTTGATTTAATATTTTTGGGAAAAAATGGAATGAACAGTGGAATTAAAATTCAATCCCCCAAACAAACACACCCCTAAAGTATATAGTTTTTCTCTTACAAAATATATAATATACCATATTTATTTTTTCATTTAAAATAAATAATTAAAAACTTAGCTACCTATCTTATATCTCTCATTTATTCTAATTTAACAATAAACGGTGATCACACATCTCATCTTATTTTTTCTTTACGCATTATCTTAGACTATATCCAAGTTAATTTTTTATATTTGTAGGAGCTATAATTTCAAGATCAATTACACTAATTTATCTCCACTTATATCATTTATGTTTACATGGTCAAATAATCTTTTTTATATATTTATAATTTTTTTTAATTTTACAAAGAACACTCAATATTTTACTTTTTTAACATACTTATTTTATATTAATATTTTAAATATTATATGAATAAATTATATTTATTACTTGGTCATAAAAAATTGTTTAAAATTTTTAGTAAATTAAAATTTTAATATCATTGAACACTATTTATATATATATAGATAAAAAAAATTATAAATATAAATATACATTAAAAAAAATTAAATATTTTAAAGAAAAATTTATAACAGATAAAACAAATAGAATAGAAAAACAAATTTAAATTATTTTTTAATTTAAAAAAAAAAAAAAAAAAAACCTTCTATTTGGAATGATCGGTTTCAGAAGTTCCTATAATTTTAGAAAAATCTCCACCGATTGAAGATGGTCTTACACGTGCAATATATGCTCGAATTTATCCTATTGACATCAATCCTACACTAGATGCAAAATCAACTTGTTTGAAGTCTCAAATTAGCTAAGAATAATTAAGCATGACAACATTTTTAGATAAAGATGCTCATTTCTTTTTAATTTTTTTTTTCATTATTTTTCTAACAATTTGTCCTTGTGAAAATGACACAGAAACAAACTAACGAATACCAGACAACATATCAACTTTCTCGGATAATAACCATACAATTTAATAGTTATAGTCTTTTAAAGTAAACTCTCCGAAAAAAATTTCAATTGAATCCAAATTTAAAATCGGAATGAACACATAATGTGTGACGCGACCATTCGACGGTGGTAGCATTTGTTATGTAGTAAATAATCGAATACTTTTTCATATTATTATTATTATTATTATTATTATATATATATAGGTAAGAATTTTTTTTTAAAAGATTGCAAATTTATGTTGAGATTTTAAGAAATAAAAGGGACATAAACTTTGGTGGGCAGAAAGGGCCGAAATATAAGGCTTTTTTTGAGTGAAGAGAATCGAATTTCAATGGCAAAGTTATGACAATCATGGACTGACGAGGATGCCATTTTCCCCTTGTGTGCTTCCTCGTAAGCCATCCCCACTTTTCTTTCTTCAAAAAATATTTCATATATCAATATATATATATATATCAATATATACTTATTGAAATCTATAATAACTAAATAAAATTTGTGGTAATATTTATATTTCTTTACTTTGTGTGTATGTATTACACCTGACAATTGGTCGTGCCGGATTGAATATTTTAAACAGATAAAATATCCCAATTATAATTCGACCCGTTTATTATCGTATCGAGTTTGTGTTGACCCGTATATACAATTGAGTCGAAATTCTTGACCAAAATTCAATTATTCAATGTCAAGTTCGGATTATTATGTCATGTTAGTTTCGTCGATTCTAGTATAATGTGTATAGTGAATTAGGTTAAATTATTTAAAATTAAACTTAATTGACATCAATATGTGGGCTAATTATTAAATTAAAATTATTTTTTTATATAATAAATTAATTAATTGATACTAATATATTGTAATTGGGTCAAAATACTTTATCCAATTATCACGTGTCATAGTTAATTTTTGTCGGCTCTAGTATATATATATATCTGGATTTTGATTTAAATTGTGAATTAAATATAATATTTTGTAAAATAGAATGTTATATTTTTACAAAGAACCAAAATAAATAATTATATAGTAAAAGAAATTGAAAAAACAAAAACAAAAACAAAAACATGGAATTATGACCAACATGGACCTAAATATGATGGTGTACGTGTAAGAAAAGTATCGATTCGAGATTTAATAATTCTGAGGGCATATGATTCGGGATTAAGGTTCTTGCAAATAGAATACTCTTATATTAATCATAAATGTTCATATCAACAGAGAATATCCAATTAATTGAAATTAGAATATTATTGAAAGTATCTTTGAAATGGATTAGCTAAGAGCATATTTGCTACCAAAACTTTAAATCAGTATTCATTGGGATTATTCATCCATTTCAGCATATACTTAATTAATCCTCTTGTTTTTTGATTGGGTTTATTTAGGTATTATTTTATATTATTTTGAAAATAGTTTACTAGGTGATTCCTTTATGTTTACTATACAGATTTGTATGGTTTCATATTATAAAAATATTTTTCTTTTTAAAAAATGTTATATCAAATTAGCATTAGAGTAAAAATCAAAATTAAAAAAACAAATCGTATTGTCCACATGTT